ATATATAATTTTATTTGTATATAATAAAATTAATGAAAAATAATTATAAAGAATGAAAAATAATTATAAAGAATGAAAATAAGGTCAAGCAGCGGGTTAACTTGTAACCTATTAGGGTCGGGTTAAGGTTGGATTTTTCCAACCTGCAACTCGTTTATAACCCAACCTGTATAACCCGTCACCCAAGTTGACCCAACCCAACCCACCCGTTTACCAGGTTTACATGCCAGAGTTGTCTTTACTAAAACACAAGTTGATTTCAATCCCAGTCATAGAAATTTTTTGTTAATTGTCTAATTTCCATAACTCCCAAAGACCTGTGTCTTGGCTCCATTCAGACATACAATGTCCCCCTCCATTATTAATGGTAAATAAAATTATTGTGCTCCATTTGGTTGTATAAATATATATGATGACTTCTTCACCTCATCCACCCAGAGTTATCTTGCAAAAACACAAGTTGATTTCATTCTCAATCATGGAAAATTTTGCTACCTGATCTAAATTCCAAAAACTCCTAAAGATTTGTGTCTTTTGCTCCATTCAGTCATACAATGTCCTACTGCACAATTTTTTTCAAAGCCATTTTGCTCTTGCTAGTCCTCATTTACAGTTTTGAAACTCTCACAAATGCCACTTCTAGTTTTCCTGGAAATACAACCGACCATAGGTCCCTGATAGCTTTCAAGTCCAAGATTTCAAATGACGCTCAAGGGATTTTGAAGTCCTGGAATGACTCTATCCACTTTTGTCGATGGGTAGGCATCACTTGCAGTCGAAGAAGGGATAGAGTCACCATCTTGGATCTAGCATCCAGCGGCTTGTCGGGTTCTTTGTCCCCTTTCATAGGGAACTTGAGCTTCCTCCGAGAAATCAGACTTAACAACAATAGGTTTTATGGTGATATCCCGCCCGAAATTGGTCGCCTATTTAGGTTACATGCCCTCAATCTGGAGAATAATTCTTTTGAAGGAAAGCTACCATCTAACCTGTCTCACTGCTCCAACCTCAATATCCTCAACATTGGTTGGAACAATTTAAGGGGAAAGCTTCCAGTGGAGCTTGCTTCCATGTCCAAGCTCAGAAATATTATCATTCACAAAAATCATTTTACTGGAGGAATCCCACCTTTCATTGGTAATCTTACCGATTTGGAAGGCATTTATGCAAATTCTAACAATTTTGGAGGCAGCATTCCAGATTCCCTTGGCCGATTGAGGAGCTTGAGAGGTCTTGGATTCGGAGGAAATAATCTGTTTGGTAAGATCCCCCCATCAATCTACAACCTTTCATTGCTTTCCTATTTCACCTTATATGGTAATCGACTTGAAGGAGATCTTCCCTGGGACATTGGACTCACCCTTTCTCGTGCAGAAACAATTGACCTTTTCGGAAACCACTTTAGCGGGCAGATTCCAACAACATTATCCAATGCTTCAAAACTTGAAACTGTTGATCTGGGAATAAATAATTTCACCGGAAAGGTAAGAGTTCCTTTTGGGCAACTCCAGCATCTTCAATGGCTAAGTTTGACTTCCAACCAACTCGGAAGCAGCGAAGCTAATGAAATGGAATTTTTAACTTATTTGGTCAATTGTACCAAATTAGAAAGCTTGTACCTTGATAGAAATCAGTTTCAAGGAAGATTGCCAGAATCTATTGGCAATCTCTCAAGCCAACTCCATCAGCTTTACTTAGGAGCGAATAACCTATTTGGAGACATCCCTTCAGGATTAGGGGCTCTTGTCAGCTTAGAAGATTTGCAATTGAATGACAATCAATTTAACGGAAAAGTTCCAAAAGAAATAGGTCAACTTCAACAGCTGCACAATATGGATCTTAGTGGTAATAAGCTTTCGGGAGAAATTTCAAATTCTTTTGGAAACTTAACACTATTGATTGTGCTTGATCTAGGTGATAACAGGTTAAATGGAAGCATACCTTCAAGCCTTGGGAACTGCCAAAATTTGGGGAAATTGGATCTTTCACAAAATGACCTTAGTGGCTTTATACCCAAAGAACTTTTTAGCATTTCTACTCTCAGTATTACACTAGATCTTTCTCATAATCATTTAATTGGATCTTTACCTTCAGATCTTGGGAAATTGAGAAACTTAGGTACATTAAAGGTATCAGACAACATGTTGTCCGGAGAAATTCCAAATAGCTTGAGTGGTTGCACTAGTCTAGAGTTCCTTTACCTCAATAGAAACCAATTTCGAGGTAGCATTCCTGAATCTTTGAGCTCTTCAAGAGGAATTCGGAAACTTGATCTCTCCGACAACAACTTAACAGGTAAGATCCCTCGACACATGGAAAATCTTGCGTTGGAGTATTTGAATTTGTCTTTCAATAACCTAGAAGGAGAGATTCCAACAAAAGGCATCTTCAAAAATGCAAGTGCAGTTTTTGTTGAAGGAAATAAGAACCTTTGTGGGGGAATCACTGAACTTGGGTTGCCTAAATGTAGCATCAGAGCAACAAAGAAAGGAGAATTGTCGCATATGCATATAATAATTATAGTTGTCTCACTTCTGGGAGTAATTATTATATCTGTCTTCCTGCTTTGTTGGACTAAAGGAAAAAACAGAGATCAGTCTTCTAGATTCTCCTTGAAAGAGCCTCTGAGGCAACTTTCTTACCAAAGCCTCCTTAAAGCTACAGATGGGTTTTCTTCAACAAATTTACTTGGTAAAGGGGGCTTCGGTTCTGTCTACAAAGGAGTTCTCGAAGAAGATGGAGCTCATGTTGCAGTCAAAGTACTTGATCTTTTGTATCGAGGAGCTTCCAAGAGTTTCATGGCAGAGTGTGAAGCCTT